AAGAATGGATATCATTTTAACAATACTGAGAGTGTCCGAATACTTACAGCTTGAAACTGGAGTGACAAAGAAAGGAGGTCTCTTCTATTTTGTAGTAAAAAGGATGTCTACAGGAACAGAGCTTTTCAACACTTCAGTCGGTAAGTCAGAACTTTGCATAACTGGTCGCCCTTTCCCTTTTCGGTCTTGTCACAAATATCCTTTCTAGGTGGGCTTATATTCTCCGATAAATTCATACAAGTGGTCACGAAGCTGCCTTCACAAAACATGTATGGGTTGGGGGAACACGTTCATCCAAATTTAAAGGTCTTTCTTTTCTGATCTATGATAACTTCGATGAACCTCTACTGCTCCAGAATTTATAGCTCATTTTAGCATGAATTCTCCTCATATCGAACATGGCCAATGTATGCAAGAGACGAGTTTCCCAACGCTAGAAATTTGGACACAAAAAATCTTTACGGTAACGACCTCTGCTGCAACATTTCCACTCGATTATTTTGAATTTTTCCTGAGACATTTACTATGTGTGTTCTTCCGTTTGACACAATATCCATGGCGCAATTTAATCCAACAGAAGGGTTGCGGTTTCAAGAAGTGAAGAAAAGGATGGGATGAAGGCATTGATGGTAGTTGGGAAGTAGTGATAACATTTGATTAAAGCTGGTAAGAGGGTTAGAAAGCATGCCCCTAGGCTTATGTGAAGATTCCTCACTTGCCAGTGATGAAGAGGAGAAAGTATGCAGGACATAGCACGAAACTGTGGACTGGGAGCGATATGGTTCAACTGACAAGAGACTAAAGGATTAATATCCACATACGGACAGACGACGATGCAGAGTCAATTTCCTACATCTTTCCATGACCCTCACAACTGAACCACGGCATCTAAAGCTCAAGTATGGCAGGTCCTACATCTTTCCATGACCCTCACAACTGAACCACGGCATCTAAAGCTCAAGTATGGCAGGCAAGAAGACTGCACACATTCCAGTCAATTTTTTATATCATTAGAAACATAATATATATGACTGTTAGCCTACATGGATCAGGCCACTTAATAGCGCTGTGGAAAATTGCAGCTATACTCACAAGGGAACCCCAACAGGTCGATCCGGCCATTTACAATGAGATGTATACGTATGGACGTGTCTTGAGCCGCTGAATCCGAATCTGCCCTCCGATTTTGCGGAACGATTCTCTGAAGGGAGTTACGGACCATTTAATCTTTGCTGTGTTTGCACAAGCTGACCAGGAAAGGCCAACACGTCAGCCCGGCCATTTGCAACGAAATGTACATCATTGTACTCATCTTGCCACGATGAACACAAGACTATCTTTAAAATTTGCGGAACGATTCTCTGAGCGGAGTTGTGACTTTATTGCTTTTCTTCTTCCGGGCGCGCCAGCGCCAAAGCGTTAGCACCTGTAGCGCAACTCACAGCGCTCTTCGCGCAAAACAGGTATCATATTCGTGTTCAGGGGGTCAAATAACCCCTAGAGACGTCACCCCAGCGGAATCCGAGGTTCTAACTCATTTTCGAGAAAATGGGTTATGAATAGCTGTGGCTGATAGCCAAAGCGATACTACGACTACCATACTGATGATGACTGGTTTTCCAACTGAAATACCTCTTCATGTGCCTTTTCGCAAAGACATTACCCGGCTTACTTATTCTTGCCGTTTGCATCATCGTCCTCTTTACCACGAGGTAGTTCCATCTCGA